GCCCCCACCCGCCCCCACGGCCCGCGGTGTCCCGGCCCTGAGGAGCCCTGGCAGGATGGGGGCTCCGACACCCCCGAGCCGGGAGCTGAGGACATCCCTGCAGGGCGGGCTTCGGTGGCAGCCGGGCCAGCATGGCCGGGCCAGCCCGCGGCAGGTCCCCAGACCACCTCCAGACACTGGTGGGTCGCGGAATCCAGGATCCCTGTCCCGTTCCGGGAGGGTCACCACGCTCCAGCACCTTCCCCAGGGCCAGCTCTGTGGAGCCGCGATCCCGCTGGAGCACAGGGAATGTCCCGGCTCCAGGGATCCCGGCGGGGACTGAGGGCACAGGGGGGATGGCACCGGGGGTCCCGGCACCTCAGAGGCAGGAGCCGGTGACACAGGGACAGCTCGGGGCGGCACCTCCCGCGGCTCCGCGTCCCCCGGGGCTCCGGGCCCCGCCGTTCCCGGCCCGCTCCGTTATTAAAGCGCTTCTCCCGCTCCGCCCGGCTCCTCCGCGGCTCCTCCGAACCGGGCCAGCCCCGCTCGTTCTCCCGCCCGGCCCCGGCGGCGGAACGCGCACAGACCGCGGTGCTGGGGAGCACGAACAGCGTTATTTCAACAGCGAACGGGACCGCGGCACGGGGGGCGGCAGGGGAGGGGCGGCGGCACCGAGCGGCCCCGGGGCACAGACCCGGCACAGACCCGGCACAGACACGGCACAGACCCGGCACAGACCCGGGCACGGACCTGGCACAGACCCGGCCCTCCTCTAGATTTAATCCATTCTTCCTTGTCCTGTCATGGCATGCCCATGCAAAATGCTGCTCTCCCCCACTATTATAACCTGCTTCAGGCATGGCAAGGGGTACTGAGGTTTCCCTGGAGCCCTCTCCAGGCTGAAGAATGAATGTGAACAACACAGCAGATGGACAGAGCAGGGACTCTGTTGGCCTGCCAGTGCACTGAGCAGGGCTGAAAACACAGTTAATGGTGAACACAGAAACTTTACTTCAACACCTCAGTCACGTCAGCATCGCTGTGGCTGCAGCGCAGCAGCGTGGGCAGGACAGAGAAGCCTCTGGCCCCAAGGCTACCTTTGGCCCAGCAGGAACTGCCGTGACCCACGGTAGCCCTGGAGCCTCCTCATCCTGCTGCTGCTGCTCAGGCTTTTTTGTCCTTCTGAAACTGCAGGAACTCCTGCAGCAGATTCCGGAATTGCACCAGAAACTGGTGTGGGAATGCCATGGGCAGTGACGTGCCCGAGGATGTCACTGCTGGTCTCTGGCTGTACTCAGGGGTCAAGTTGATATGTTCCTCTGGTTTCAGAGGCTGCTTAGGGGCTGAGGTGACAACTGGCTCTGGTGCTGGACCAGCTCTTTCTTCTGGGTTCAGGCCCGTCTGGAGCAGGATCCAGTTGTAGAAGTGCTGAGTGGAGGTGTAGATCCCGGGGTGCCTGGCTCTGTCACAGCCTCTTCCCCAGCTGTTCAATCCCACCAGCCAAAAGTAGTCCACTCTGTTGTCCTTGCAGACGAGGGGATTCCCGCTGTCCCCCTGTGCCAGGAGAGATGGCTCAGGGACTGTGGGGGCTGCTGCCAGCCCCGGGTCTGGCTCCTCTCTCCCAATCCCTGCCAGGTCCACATTCCCGGCACATTCCCAGCACAGGTGGGGGGCTCTCCCATCTCTGCACACTGGGTCCCAGATGTGCACAGGACAGATGTTCCAAGGTCACATCCACACTTTGGGTCTGCTGGGGCCGCTGAATGGGCTTTGTGGGCAGGAACAGGCCTTGGGGACAAGGGGACATCGGACAGGGACCCGCAGGTGAGGGGTGGACACGGGGCAGGCTGGGCTGTCCTACCTGGCAGGTGTCGATGCCGCCGTGCGGGTACCCAGCACACAGGTTGTCAGCATGGACGGCCCCCGCGTACCACCGGCTGCTGTTGCAGAGCTCCGTGTCCATGAGGTGGACGTCCCTTCCCCACGGAGCCATGTTGTCCCGCTGTGTCCCTTCCCCACGGAGCCATGTTGTCCCGCTGTGTCCCTTCCCCACAGAGCCATGGTGTCCCGCTGTGTCCCTGCCCCTTCCCCACAGAGCCATGTTGTCCCGCTGTGTCCCTTCCCCACGGAGCGATGCTGTCCTGCTGTGTCCCTGCTGTTGGCCTGGGGAAGGGGCCAGGCCCATCTCTGCCGAGGCTTCCCAGGGCCAGCAGGAATTGTTCGGGTGAGCAGGGACCTCACAGCTGATCCCGTTCCACAGCATGCCCTCCCCAGGAATGGACTCCTTCCCCAGCCCGGGCTGCTCCGAGCCCGGCCCCGCTGCCGCCCTGCGCCCGGACTCTGTCTGTGCCCAGCCCGTGTCCCCGGGGTGCCCAGCTCGCCCTCGGAGCACACGTGCTGTTGGGAACTCACCTCTGGCAAAGTTCCAGCCGGCGATGTAGCAGGATTTCAGCTCCGAGACCCTGAGCGAGGTGTCGGGCACGCAGCCCAGCTGGATGTAGTCGCTGCACTCCACGGGCTGGTCCAGCTCCACCAGGGCAATGTCGTTCCTGGCCGTGGCAGGCACGTAGTGCTGGTGCACCAGGAGCCTCTGGATGCGTCTCACTGCAGCCTTGGGGCCCGGCTGGCTCAGATCTGTGGCCCCCATCACCACATCCCATGTGGAGACACCCCTGGGGAGCAGATGGACAGAGGGCTGACAGGGAGCCGAGCCAGGGGCTGCAGCAGCCCAGCATTTCCCGTCCTTCTGCTGTGAGCTGGGCACCTGCCCGTGCTCTGGGGACATCTCTGTCCCTGCTGTCTCTTACCCGGCCCTGGCGAAGCAGTGTGCGACCGTGAGCACCCACTGGGAGCTGAGGAGGACACCTGAGCACATGTGCCACGTGCCATTCTCCCAGGTGGCCTGAATGCTGACGATGCCAGGCCAGGACCCTGGCTGGACACTGCTGCCACCCACAACATGGGATGTGTCAGCAGCAGAAGTCACGGAGCTGTGGTCAGAGGCCATGGGCCGGAGCCTGCAAATCCTTCTGTAACACAAAGCCATCACTGTTCTGCTTGGTGGCTGCTGCTACTCAGGCTGAAAGTCCCCTGTCATCCCCTCCTGCCCAACGTTGAATGGCAGGAAGACATGGGACCCCTGAGGGGCACATCTGTACCCTCGTGCTACTGCAGCCCCCCAGACAGGCTGTGCCAGTAGCTGGGCACTGACTGGGCCAGGGACTAAGGCTTCTCCTCCAGGGACTGAGGCTGGAACACTGTGGTGTGGGTGTGAGGAACATGTGGGGCCCCTACAGGGAACTTGCTAAGTAGGACCACTGACCTGCAGGTGTCCCAGCTGCCCCACACGGGCCCGGCCAGGGCTGGCAGGATGAGCAGCCACAGAAGAGCCATCGGGCCAGCACAGGTGGCAGAGCCAGAGGAGAGCTGTCACCTCCAGTGTGGCCACTGCCACAGCACCCACAGCCTTCGTGCTGCTCACAGTGGCCAGGCCAGGGCTGCGACCACTGACCTGCAGGTGTCCCAGCTGCCCCACACGGGCCCGGCCAGGGCTGGCAGGATGAGCAGCCACAGAAGAGCCATCGGGCCAGCACAGGTGGCAGAGCCAGAGGAGAGCTGTCACCTCCAGTGTGGCCACTGCCACAGCACCCACAGCCTTCGTGCTGCTCACAGTGGCCAGGCCAGGGCTGCTGTCACAGAGGGGCTGGTTCTGAGTGCTGGGCATGACAAGGAGGGGCAGCACAGAGTCATAGAGGCATGGAATGGTCTGGGTGGAAGGGACTTTAGTGACCACC